GCAGGTTATGAAAATTGGCAAGACAAAAGTCCTGATGTGGACCTAGCTAAATACAGTTAATCAATATTGTCGCATTCAATAAAGATAAAAATTTAGGTGAGCAAGATATAAATTTATGCTACTTAGTACATGTTTATTCGCATTAAGCCCAATCTTAAATGATCTCAAATTTGCACAGTCCTTGACATGGTGCGGAAGAAGGTTCCATTCCAAGGTAGCCCAGTGTTTAAAAAGAGGACCTGCCAATTTCAGATCTTGGTCTTGGCACTTCTATATTTAAAGAATTCCTTAAACTGGAATTGGGTTTTGCCCTAGAAATTAGAATGTTAAGTTCCTCTGTATTTAAACCATGATAGGATCGGTAGGTCACAACCATCAGCATCTTTACATAATACGACAAGATGGGATTCCATTGCCTCAACTTCTTGATCTCATCAGTTGGAGTGGTCATAGGTAGCTTGTAGACAATCTTTAATGCTCTCATATAAATACGTGCAATATCCTCCATAAGTACCAAGGAAACAGAGCCCCAAACAACAATATTATACACAACACTAGGAATAATTGAGTTCAAATAGATTACAAAATGGACTGAGGTAGGAATTTAATTCGTTTCAGAACAGCCAATTTATTGTTAAACAATTTACAAATATTCTTAATATGATCCTGCCAAGATAACCTATTGTCAATAAAGTTAAGCCAAGACATTTAGATGAAGACTTGAGCTAGATGGTCTTGGTGCCATGTGTTAAAGCTCGTAGGGAGGGCTTATTGGGAATGTTGACTGGTTTGCCACCCCATAGTGCAGGCTTTATAGCACGTTTGGAGGTATGGCATGGAAAGGAAAGACTTATCGATCCTTACCCTTAACCAGTCAACAAGCAGTTGATTCTGCTTCAGACAAAGTCTGCGTCTGCAACTGAACCCGCGAACGTCGTTGGTAAGTTTCATATGGTCAGTTTTCAGTTCTAATCTACCGACTATTTTGCAGAGGTGAAACAAAAGTCAAATGTTTATGTGGCAGGCCAAAAAAATTTGTTCTGTAGTGTTTTTCCATGCGTTTCCTTGGATGGAATGCAAAATTAAATCGAATTTTAAAATAGAGGACTCACTTGATAATAATATCTGAAGGCAAATAAATTTAAAATGACAAAGTTCAACATTAGTTCCCACCTCTCAAAGCTTGCGTTAATTAAATGTTAGAGTTAGAGCTTGGAAGTGGATTCAACACTTCAAAAAATGGGGGTGGAAGCAATTGGGATGAAAGAATGCTTCTTATGGGAGCTCATGGCTATTTTGACGTTGTTGTGTTGAGCATCCATCTGATATACCTGTTGTGAATGGTAGATAGTCTTCCTTGGCTAAGTTCTTTCCTAACTTATTATTTGATAATAGTTTTAACGTGAGTATTGCCAAGATTAAGCCATCCTTAAAAAGTTTTGGGGAAGGGGGGAGGGGGGTGCAAATATTTGCAGTAGTCTAAATTTTTCTCCGTTATCGGTATGAGGTATTATCCCTCATCACAGAGAGAAAAAATCACTCTTATAATTGGAAACTTATCTAATCTCAGAACTGTCGATATTACATTATTTTTTTTCCTAGAAACCTCCCGCCCTTTTGGTAGTGGCCACAAAAGAAAGGTCAACAGATCATCATTCAAGGATTATGACAGGCTGCTTACAAGAGAAGAAACAAAGTAACTTAGCTACAAAGAAAAGAGCATTTACAATACAAAGTAGGTACAAATCTAAAAAGTAATGCCAAGTCTCTTGTGTGCCATTTTGATAGTTAACCTAAGGATCATGGTTACAGAATTTTTATCTTGTGCTTTTATGAAACTGACTTGATTACTGGTAATTTCAAGAACCTCTCGCCACTTGGACCATCCAAAAAAGATGAAATACTAAGGTGATAACTTATGTTATGAGCGGATTTTCTCTTCCAAATTGTTATAGTAACAATTGATGGTCAACTTAAGTTCTGATGACTTTGTGGTTCTCTGTCTAACAGAAAAAATATAAGAAGATCAATCTAACCTCCTTTCCCAGGAAAAAATGATAACAAAGGAAGTAGAGAAAAGATGACCACGCGGAAGTGCCTTACCATTATACAGAAGTAAGACAGATGCTATCCAAATAGACAAGTTTGTGGCAAAGTTGGTCAAAGATGACACTCGTCTTTTTCCTGAGTGTGGATGTGGTAAAGAAGCAGTCCTGGGAACAGTTTTAAATAAAATCAGGGAGCAGAGGCGCCAGCAGAGAGAAAAGCCCCATACCAGTGAAGAAGTGCTGTCAACAGACAGTGCATCTGAGTCAACCGAGTCAGCCGAGTCTAGTAATTTAAATCCTATTCCACCTACTTATACATCTCAGTTGCAAAGTATGCAGAAAGCGTACAACTTTTATTTTGATGAAGGTGTGGGAATTACAGAAGTTATTACCGCCAATAATTGACTTCCAGTTTTTTTTTCTTGATCTTGAAAACCAAAAACTATACTTAAAAGTTAAAAGCAGCTTGTGACAAGATAAAGCAAGGTTAATTTTGTTATGTTTTCAAACCTTATTGTGGGATGGGTTTGTAAAACATGGTTTCATGATAACTTTTTAGTTTTAAGTATGGGGGCCAAAAAATGTCCATGTAAGGTCATTGCAAATTCTAGGGGAGGTGGGGGTTTGAAGGAAATTTTGATGTATGAACTGGAATTTCTGGTAGGGTTTGGAGATTCAAACCTAAAACCTTCCTTGGGCGAGGTATGAATATCTCCTAGAGCACCACGCTAGTGACAATTTGTTGCTGCCAAGAATGCATTCTTTAGGTCAGAACGGATAAGGGAACTTGTCACAACGACTTGTCCTCACGCCTTATTGCAGTACACACTGAGTGACTTCTCCCCTAGTGTTTTCCAACCTCAAGGATCAGTGAAACAAATTTAGTAGGTAAAAATTAAGATAAAGAAGGATTTATTTGCCTGTGCTTGGTTATAAAATGTATCATTAAATTGTCATTGGTTTGCTTGTGAAAAAGGGGCCTATCCAATGTTCTCAATTAACTAGTGGCCTGGTTTGAGTATCTACTTTGGGGATTTAGCTTTTCTCTTAACATTTTGCTTATTTTTATCCTAGACATGACTTAGACCACACAGATTTAATCGTAATGGTGGCTCTAGGAAAACCATCCCAAAAAGAAGTGAAGATGGATCAATCACGGAAGATGAAAAAATCTTCAATTTTAGCCTTTTACGAGGCAAGGACAAGGAATCTGAGGAGGAAAATCAGGTATCAGTAACTCGTGGTGATGTTAAAGTAGTCAAGGAGATTATTATGGAAGAGTCTGTAGTTAAGGACTCTTAATTGCTGAGTATATGCTTAGTAACAAATCCTTAGATTTAGATGTATGCAAGACCGTTTTTGAAAATTGTCCTCACCAGCCATTGCGAGGCCCGTGATCAGAGTTGACACACATAGCACAGCAGTTGCCACTTAGTTGCAAAACTTATTTCCTACCGTTTGGAAAGAGATCATCATTTAGTGGGAAATCGAACAGAGATAAGAAGCCTCCTCCCAAGAAGACCGAAGAAGATGTTGTGCATAAAGATATGGTCCTTCTGCCTTCCCCTGATATCAGGTCGGTACCCACTCATCAAATGAAATGGCGGATGGAAAACAGCAGTTTCGTCATACATGCCTTCCCAGTTGACAAGTCTAAGCAAGAGGAAGATTTCAGGGCTCAAATTAGAGAGTTGTTCGAGAGACTAATTTTAAATTCATGAAGTCCTACTAGGAACAAATAGTATCACCAAAGTTAGCCAATGGCGTGTATTTCACTGCTTCACATGTCCTCGTGCTTGCTGGACAGGGAAGCATTTACATTCAACCAGAAAGTGATATCTCTACTGCCCTGATGAGATGATCACTCATTGGGCTTCAATTATACTGAAACAGTCAATCACCGAGGAGCAAGGTCTTATCCTATATGTATTTGCAAATCTTAAGACCAAGGTATCAAATGAGAAGTTCCTAAAAATAGAAAAGAATATCTTTAAAGATGCAATTTAACATCAAGTGGAACAGCTACAATGACTCTCTCATTACCATTTGGAGTTTTGAGATCATAGTACTGATCAACCACAACACAAACGCTGTCAATCCTTGACACTGGCATGAATGCTCCGACACATTCAACTTTGAATGATGGAAAACATACTTGAATGGGAAAACCACAATAAAACCTTGAGTGTGGGTGGACTTTATGCCAATGAACACAAGCCAGCAGGTACGGGAAGTCTATAGTTTCACCACTTGGGGATCAAATGGTCACAGTGTGCTAAAAGAAATACTGTATGATTCGTTTGTATAAAGAAGGAAACATGTTATTCTTAATTCCAAATAAGTTTGTTCTTACTTGTTGCACGCCAAAAAAAGTTCATAGAAGATGATTGCTTAAAGCCCCTTACCACCATTACTTGGCTCTGCATTTTTGCATCCTATCATGCCATTTTTTCCAACTATGCAAGCTTCAATAGCCTTTATCGTATATCAACAAAAAGCTAATATTTTCAACTTTCTTCAAATGGCGGCCAAATATGGTCCAACCAGTTCCCTACCATATCGAACCAATCCCAAAAAGGCAGAACCCAGAAGCCTTTGCAGACTTTTTCCGCCCCATTTCCAAAAACTACCCACTCTTGTAATGAACGTAGTAAGAATGCCCAATACACCCGAGTGGCTGCATAGATTTTTGGCTCTTGAATTTTATCGAATTTTTATCCTCCATTCGTCATTTAAAGTGTTTTATTATACCCACCTCAATCTTAACTACTTCATGTTGCGATTATTAATGTATACGAGAAATTTCCTTTTTTCATTGTAGAATTGCTGGAAATCGACAAGCAAAAACCTTGGTCATGGACTAATGCAC